TCACCTGCTTCATTCCGCATGGTTTGCTTCTCAGCATGGACTGTCTCCTCTTCAGACTCAACTGTCTGTTGGTATGAATKAAACTCATATGAAAGTGAACTTAAAAAGAGTAGTCTTTATCTAGTAAAGCTCGCTAAATTAATAACAAAATTAACAATTGCTAATTGCCAGCAACACATCAGTGGATGCTAATTGAGTAGATAATTTGGAAAGGTCCTGGCTTCTTTAAGGGCAAATGACAGCCACTATACTATGGTTGTTTRTGGTCATGTAAGCTTTTCTGTAAGTCCCATAGACTCTGGATGAATTACAAATCAAAAATTAACTATATTTACATTTGAGGCAAAAAAGAAAAAAAAAATCACACACATCTCCTATGTTTTTACATTAGCTAATAAAAAACCTTGAGTTTTTAGAAGTACTCTACTCTTTATCTTGAACTACTGTCTGCAAAGTCAGTCGAACAGTTGTACCTTTCAGCACACCTCCAGGTTTTTGTGTAACACTTGGAGCTATATGTAAGAGCATGGTTGTATTTAAAATTATGCAATTAAATGCCATAGGCTTTATTTTCTACCTCAGAAACTCAGGAAAAGTAATAACACAAGGACTTCATTAATAAATCAGTTTAACCTTCCAGCTTTTAAGCCATAAATTTGAGTACCTTGAAACTTCTTTCCTAATACRCCTAATTTCTCTTCCAGGTCCAAGCTAAGAACATGTATATAGTRTCATAAATCCACAATGGGAAGACAGACTTATAATAAAGAAGTATGGAGAAAAGAAAGAAACCGCAAAACATAAAGCCCACAAACCTGAATGATTTTGCCCAGTGTGAAATACGGTTTAGAAAAGAAAAAAAAAACACRTATTAGAGCTTACCATAATTTTTTCATCTCCCAGGACTTTTCTAAGTATACTTAAGATTTCAAACTCAGCACTGAAAACCAGTTTGACTTTTGTTACTTCTGTTTTGTTAACAGTAGTGGGTATATTCATAAAAAATTTTACAATCTTTTGTCTATCCTTCTCTGTATTAAAAGAAAACAAACAAACAATAAAATTTGTTTTAGATCAAGACATTCTTCTGTCAACCCAAAAATGTTTGAATAAGGGTTTGGGATTTTTAAAACAGTGTCTTCTACATCTTGCCCATGCATTTCCAGTTACTCTGTTCACTCTTTGGGTGTTGGTTATGCTGTTCCCAAGGACACCTGTAAATGGACCCCTCAATGTCCTGCTTGGGTAGGGAGGGTGGATTATTGTACACAACGGGCCCACATTCAGTCCAACAAGCAGATCTAGTGCAGGATAACCAAAGGAYAAGGCAGGGAGGGAGGAGAAGACACAGGAACACTTTGGTGATGATGAGATTTTAGGTTGAGACCATGTGTCTCATGGATCCACAGCCAAACACGATCATGTAATTGGAAAATCTTACCCTTCACACTGTAACTGTTGACAGCTTCTTTTGACAACCTCACAGAGTCCCAAAGAGTTCCCTTTGAAAATGAAAGCCATGGCATCAGAAGGGCTGAGGGAGTGTCCACTGACTGAGTCCAACCCAAGGCCACCTGGGCTTTGCTGTTACCTCATTGCAGTCCACGTAGAAAGTCACACTCTGGCTGCYAGTGTTGAAGTCAATCCAGAACTCCTCCAGCTTCTCATCCGATGGTTTCTTCACCTGGGGAAAAAGAGCAGTTGCTACCCAAAAAGGCCCACAACCACATCAGTTTCAATTTTCTTTAATGAGACAGAATTGGAAAGTGTTACACTATATAAACATCTGTGCACTGTGCAGAAATAAGAGGTCAGGCCACCCTGCGAGGTGCCAGCCCACCGCTCACCCAACCACATCCGATGTGGCTCTGCATCAGCCAAGGGAAAGGCAAATGCTCACACATTTGTGCCAAGAMAGAAGTTATGGAAGTTCTCTCTGTTCCTGAGCACTTGAAAGAAGCAGAAACAGTAGAATCAGCTTCCATCTACATGGTTTTCATTCAATGTGGCTTTCAGGAATAGTGCCASATTTATTTAAAGACCAGTAAAGCAATCTGCAGGATCTGTAACTGTGACCTCTCCTACATGGGCATCAGGTTAATCTTGCTTTCTGGCAGTCCAGGAACAACTCTCCCAGAGGAATCAGCATTGTCCTGTCCTTCTGTTCCATTTTAGAACTCTCTTCTGTCATCACCATGAAGAGAAGTGTTGCCTTTATAACTTGGCTGATATAAAAGCAAAGTCAGCAGCAGTAAGGTGGGAGTTAAGTGACAAACAAGCAAACTTTCCAACTAGAACAGAAGGTTTCATGCTATGCTCCAAGAAATTGAGCTCTTCAATTAAAAATAGAAAGGGGAGAAAAAAACCCAGATATTTACCACAGAAAGCAACATTTTAGCAGACATAAAACAGTAGGGAAGATGTCAGAGCTTTAAGGGATATTACCTCGTTCATGTCAGCAAAAGCAGATATGCAAGGAAATGAATAGACTCTGAAAGAAAAGCACACTTCACATGATACATTCAGCATCAGAGTTTGACTTCAAAGGTTTTATTTTTAGTAATATTAGTAACAAATCTTAATGTTCAAAAAATAATTTTAAAATATCTGAAAGTTAACTAAGCTTGGATAAGAAAAATTAMAAGTAGTGATGCATTATCTTCATTGATTTTACTTTCAAAATAACCGCCATCAAAATGAAGAAAATTTCCTCCTTAAGAACAACTTAATTCTTCACAGTGAAGAACACTTTTTTAATATAACACAACACAGTTTACAATTCTGTTTATTYCCCTCTGCAGTAATGATGGCACCGGTGTATTCTGCTGGTTCCCAACTTACCTTCTTTTATCTCCAAGCCTTTTATTTAGTAGGTTAAGAAATTTTCTGCAGTCCTTCAAGACAAATGACATATTTTTAAAAAATCAGACTGTTTCCTTTGCAAACAGTTTTTCTATTTTGTAGAATAACTATTTGCTGTGTAATCTCTACTCTCCAGTTGAAAACTTTAAACTGGTCAGTGGGAAGAAACACTCAAATTACTACAAAATGTTGGACCCAACTTAAGAACAGTAAGCCTTCAAACATAAACTTCAAAATTAACTTATTTATGCACTCTTTAYTATAATTTTTATTTTAGTTTTGTATAAGTAAAATAACTTAGACATATCAGCTATTTTGACAATCTGTTAGTTCACATTTACCATATTATAGGGAAAAAAAAAGTAAAGCATGTCATCCACAAATAGCTTTGTGTATTTATAAAATCACTTTTGTTGGAACTTCTTGCAAGGACATCCTGGCTGAACTCAACCAAAACTAGCCCCTATAACGACTTGTCAAGAATGTTGTTTTCAAAATAAGGACCCTCACCGTCTCAAATTCTCGATCCTTGATCTCTTTGAAAGCTTCAGCAAGATAATTATCTTCAAACCAGTGGTGAACAAGGTCATCTCTCCATTTTTTCATCATTAATCTACAAAGTGCTTCTGAAAGGGCAACTTGAAGGTCATAATCTGCCAGGTAAACATAAACATAGGATAAATATCATCCCTCCAGCATAACAGAGGGTTATAGCATTGCTACTCTTGCAATTTTGTACTACACAGTCATATTCATCCTCTAGCCTTAGTTTCCCCCGGAAGAGTAGGGGAGGGTAAGAGCCAAGTGTTGGCTCAGGCATCCTCAGTTCCCCCAATTCAGTGAGGCTGAGGTACAGAGCACTGCAAACCACAACACACATGAGTGTACTGGGAGATGTTTTTGGGGTTTGGGATGGGGATGACAGCAAGGACTCATCACTAACTCAACAGGATTAAATTGCATTCCATATGCCATGGCAATACTCCATAAAGTGYTATTACTAGGAGAAAACAAAAAAGATTTCACTCAAGACACCATAAACCTTGTTAACTGAAGTTTGTTCACATTGTGGCAAAGGAATTCAAATTTAATTTAAGACTAACAGCCAACATATTCTGTAAACACTTAAATATTTAAAGTGGATCCCATTATATTTCTACATAAATCAGTTTAGCTTGTCTGGTTAGTTAATATGCATTACTAATACCAACCAAAAAGAACTAATGTATTGCTGCATTTAACTTTTTTATTTATATTTTGTTAAAGCACATCTGACTTTCCCTCCCTTAAGATAAACTCTTAACTAGGAAATACAATTTAAATTATAATTCATCTATTATAAATAAGCAGATGAGGTAAAATTAGAAAACTTCTTACCACCAACCTCCAGTATAGTTTTTGCAAGGTCTTTCCTGAAACAACATAATGCCACAAGTTAAAGTGGAAATAACTAACTCCTGCTGCAGAGAGGAGGGTATTTAGCCACAGAAACTGGAGGGAAAACCACTTACGTGAGCGAGCACATCTCCTCAGATAGAGGGAACTTCTTTCTCTCCTCCCGTGGGAGACTGTCAAGTATAGAGTTGAGGGTCCTYAAGGCCTTTGCCCCCCCACAAAAGAAGAGGTAGAAAATGAAGGGAAATAAATCAGTAACTTTTTTCCACATTTTTATCTAATTACAAACTTTTGCACAAAWATATCTAATTTTCTTCTCCTAGTAAGAATCCTACCTCCAGATGCAGAGCGCAGCAAAGATTTGCCTCTGTYACTAGGTGCCCTAGCTCAGGCAAAAAGAAATCCACTAGCTCTTTCTTTCCTAGAAGAATAATTTGAAAAGATACAGTTAGAAATGGGCCAGTGTCAAYACAAAAATAGTCGAAGCAACTACAGTTTTTTGTGTTGAAAGAATAAAAATATCCCAGCTATAARTTCATTTTAAAACAAAGCTTTCAACCATCTGATCCTAGATAGAAAGGAGAACTCGTAGCTTCTATCCAAATAAAAGCTCCAGACACACTAACTTCTGACCTGGGTAACTATTTAAAGAGGCACAGAAARGGGAAGCTAATTACTACCCCCAAGAGAAAACCCTAATATACAGGTTTTGCCAATGTCAACATAGCAAACCATTGAGGTATCAACCAGAAGATGCTTGTGCCACTGTGCTTCCACTAGAATACGGTGAGGTGATAAACAAGCACACATTACCAGAACTACAGTGCAATGCTTCATTTCTACATGGATTGTGAACCTAGGTGTCTGTTCACACAGATATTTTCTGAAAGTGCCTGCTCCCCTGTCCTAATGGAAAAACAGCTGCAGCTACAGAACAAAATTTTGCTGAAATAACAGAGATGGACAGACATCACTCTGTCAAGTTCAGAAAGCTGAAGGAGTTACCACRTTATTCTGCAGAGATGGCTGCCTTCAGCAAGGAGATAACATCTGATGCCAGGACAAATAGATGTCCAAGATCAGACTGCCTAGCCTGAACCCCTTTCTGTAAATGAAGCACCATTTACTTTGATCAAGTTAAATACTTGATASTGACCATTTAAACAAGATACCAGAGACAGATTTTTTTTTAGCATGTACACAACGAGCTGACAAAGAGAAACAGAAAAAGATTTTGTGGTCCAATGCAAATGTTAATAAAAATTAACTGAAGGAAAATCAGCAAGGGGATTAAAAAATGTATTGGAGAGAGGAAGAAGTAGGTAGCAGAAGAGAAAAGAGAAATGGGACAGAGTTTAAGCAGAATTAAGAAAAATACTCCCAAGATTAAGATTCAGGATGTCGAGGARCGGAAGGAAAAAATACTGACCTTCAATACTGCATTTGCAAATCACCTGATGGAAAGAGTAARAGAAGCCTTCATTAGCACTCCATCACACAAGAACAGCAGTACTCAAAGTGGACCCCACCCCAAGCTTTCAGGGGCTAAATAATATAAAACAGTGGTGTACCCACATCAGGAAAAGCCACCTGATACAGGTATGTCACATATGGTCACCCAATCATACAGGTTGGCATTATGCAGGGAGGGTGAAGTAGCCAAAGCACACACTTCCCCCAGGGCTTTCAGCAGCACTTGAGAGTGCAGTGCCCACAGGTTCCCTGGAAAACCCCCATCAGGACATTGTTCCCTTCCTTTTATTACACATATGGGCCTATGCAGGAGGACATTTTGTTTACACACTTCAGTACTAGATATCACAATATATATCTGAAGGGTGTTAAAAGTCCCTCAAGAAAAAGTAAAAATAAAAATTTAAAAATATTTAAAACAACCCCCCAACATAAAACATTTCTTCCTCCATGGTGAAAGCATGGGAAAGAAAAATACCACTAAGACAAATAAATTAAATTGTTGGGAAAGGAAACGGGTATGTCATAATTTCAAAGTAGTTAACAGAGAAAGCAGAAAGTTTGATTTTGCTCAAATATCTTTAATCAGAACTCCTAAAAAGAGTAATAAGTATTGATACGAATTCTGGYGCACAAAGCAACAGTTCCCATAAGCTACAGACAAGACTGGGATGAAACAGTTTGGTGAAAAGAAGCTAAAAAGCATTCTTTCTATTACAAATGTTATATCACTAGGCSTCCAGTACCCTTAAGGCCAAGAATATTGAAAGCTGAAGCCTAAATGAGAGTTTTAAGCAAGTTAGAGTCTTTAGAATTAAATCATCTGTTTCAAACACAGCAGGATCGAATTGCCAGGACCACCACCTTGGCAAACACGTTTGCACATGAGGTGCCGCTCAGTGTTAGTAATGTGTGGGTTTTTAAGGGAGTTACAGAACAAAAACATTTCTTTACAAAATGTGTCAGAACTTCTTGCGAATTTTTCCGCAAAAATAAATACTCCATGTTATAAAATGAGCAAACACTGCTGCCCTGGACCAGCTTCTCCCAAGTGTGGAAATTCTCACTCCTGGACACCACCCACCCACACCATCAAGGCTGGATCCCAGCTCAGCCCTTGGGTATCAGGTGAATACAATTATTTATTTTCTAACAGGAAATTGTTTGTGAACAATAGCTATCTTATCCAATAAAGGCAACCCTTTTATTCCCTTAATGCACAAACATACCAATGCAGAATCAAAGAAATCTTCGAGCAGCAACATCAGAAATTTATTCTCATTTGGACTGATGAGGTTCAAAAATGTTCTTGCTCTTTCAAACCAAGATACCAGGTAAAAGTTAAAAAAAAAAATTAAAAACAGGGAAAATAAATTAATAGTCATTAAACTATATATGCTGCAGGAGACCTTACTGAGAGAGTTTTTTACTCTTTAAACCTCAGAGCCACATACTGTGTAAAAACTAYATGGCATTAAGGAGCTCAGATTTTGCTAGAAGAACATGAAAAGTGCCATTTCTCCCCCTGACCTTCCCCTCCCCCCCAGCCCTCCTTTTAGCCTCATTTCTTGTTCAAGGCACCCACTCTTGGTGCTCAGACACAATACGTGATGCTAGTGTCATCATAACTCCTATAGACACTTCTAGAAGACATCAACTCACAGCAAAATATTTTAAACWTTTTTTCAAGGTAAGCATTTTAATACTTAGTGGTTTTAAACCTTGCATAGGACCACACACGAATGGTGAACTAGAAATCCATGTTCCATTGGAAGCACAGAGCTCAGATTAATTAATAAAGTTAGGGGTTTTTTTCAATCTCCATACATGAATTTTGAGCAACTGTATCCCTGAAAAGCATAACTACAAGGCAGGAATACAACATTTTGGACCGAGGACTCTGCAATACAGCTCTGCTARCAGAGARCATGTGTTAACTGTTCCCTGAGAGYTSTGCTAGATCCAGGTGTTACTCATCTTCAGCACMATTGTATTTCTGCTACTACAACTATTACCAGCTGAAATCACTATAGTGCCATTGTGCCAGACGATAAAATGCAATTGCAAATTAAATGCACCTGGTTTGCATCGAGAGAAGGACCTCCATAAACAATATCTCAGTTTTAAAAAACATAAAAGCACAAATTTCTTATCAATTCTATTACTGAAACTATAATTTTGCTGGAGTATTTAAAATGCATTTAGAAAGTCCTTGTCATTTCACCAATGGGATTCATCAAAACTCATCTTCTCCTTCTGCTATCAGCTTAAAATTCCCAAACAACTCACAACTGACAAAATCAAGTAATAAGTGAAGCCATAATTGCTGCTGCACCAAAAGCAATGTAAGAAAACAAGCGTTTCCCCCTCACTCATTTAATGTAATTTTTTTATTTGTTTCTGTGCAGCCAACAAGCCATCCTCTAGGTTTCACTTCCTTGGAGTTATTTTCTGATGCAAACAACCTTAAATCACATTAGCAATTTGTATGCAGTATATATATATATATATACTCATCTTTGCTACCAGTCCTTGCTTGATAAACAAACTCTTCCCTTCTTGAAGATCACTCTTAAGGTAGATCTGAATACATTTCAGCAGCAGTGAAACATTTTTGAATTCATTCTTGTCCAGCTCCTACAGAAACATAGAATTCTGTGCATCATTAGTCTGATACCCTCCAAATTGTGTTAGGATTATTTATGGTACTTGCCTTCCTCAGTGCTTTGTCCAGCTGGTTAAAGAGAGATTCACTGTATTTCTGGGGAGGCTCTACATCTCTCTCTTGAAGCAGTTCGTGTATTTTCTGAAATCCCTTCCCTTTAAAGGCATCAATGAGCAGTGATTCGAGCTGCAGAGGGAGAGGAAGGAAACAACCAGCTGGTAAAATGAGCAGGTATTGAAATTGTTKTGCCACTAATTATGATAAAATACTTGTAGTGCTATTTTAACAGATGTAAGCTTTTTGTTTACTTTTTTTCTATTTTCTCTACTTTCATTTTACTGTTACATCTGAAGTGAAACGTCAGCCCTAATCTCCAAGAGACAGAACCCTTGAAACTGAGTAATTTTAAAAGATACTGAATAATAAAAGAGGCAATTTAGTATGCCCAGCTTGTAAATCCCACAACTATTACAGTAATTTCTTCCCACTTACTAAAGAAAAGATTAAGGGGACTGCTGCACTTCCCACGTGAAATAAAATTACTAGAAATTCTAGGTCATGCCATATCTGTTTAAGAAATGCACCTTCAAATACATATATAAATAACAATTTGTAAGATAAAGATATGGATGCATCTAAAAGATCCTTACATAGCCTTCTCCTCTGTCTGCCACATATCCACTCACATCTCTATTTCGTTCTTCTCTCTTTTCTTCCTTTAAAAATAAAAGGAAGAGAAAAATACTGAAGAAAAGAAATTTTCTTCCCAGTCCCCTTCAAAAAATAAAAAAGAATAAAAAAAATCCAACAAACCAAAACAAACGCAAACACTTTTTCTTCCCCAGAGCTGAAGAGCAGTTACTCATTCCCTCCCTCCCAAACGGCAGCTTTTCCTTCCTTATTTCCTGAGTTGCAGAACCATCCCGTGCCTCCAGACTCGAGGCAGCCGTGGGGAAGTGCCGCGGGTGTCCCCCGGCGGGAGCTGGATGTTCTCCCCACTCGGTGGCCGCTGCCAGTCCCCGCCGGGATCAGTGCCGCTTACCTGGGCCATGGCGGGGGAGAGAAGGGGCAGGGGCTGCTTCACACCCTCCCCACGCCCGTGACCCACTGCTGCTGGACACAGCCGCCTTTAGGGTGGACAAAGACCCTCGCCAGCCTTTCTCACAGCTCCGAGTGCTCTCCTTTCCTCAGCAAACCCTCACTCTATACTCCAGCACTGAGACCAAAAAAAAAGGAAAAAGAGGAAAAACCAGCCGATTTCGCCCCCGCCCTAAAAAGCCGCAGGTGTGCCGTGGCTGGGACGGGATTCCTCAGCCGGACAGCGGCTTTGGAGCACTGACAGGCACCCGGCTGAGCCCTGGGGTGCAAAAGCGCAGCTCGGAGCCTCCTTGGGGCTRCTCTCGGCCGAGGGGGGCGTGTGCTGCTGCCCGATGGGCTTTATTGTGCTCAGCTAAGGGTAAAGTTCAGTAAATTTTGGACCAGAGAGCATGGAAGCGAATGAGAAAATTATTCCGAACAGGTGGGATCATTTAAAGGATGGTAACAGCACTCAGCGTTCGACGGCTGGGTCTCTCTGCTGTTGTGTATAAGATTTTTCTTTCTGCTTTTCACGTCAAAAATCAACCTTGCTCCTCCCTCCCCACAACACTCCTATAAAAAACAAACAAACAAACAAACAAAAAAAAAAATCCACCTCACCGAAGCCAAACCAACCAACCAAAAAACTCCAAATAACACCCCACCGGCCTTTTCTTTCGAAAAGAAAAAGGTAATAAAAAACCTCGAATTTTTTAATACGTTAAAATGCGCCGATCGATACAATAGCGCCAACACCAACTTTGCATTTTAAACCGGGTTCTATAGAGCACAGCGGGAAGGGGGAACCTGCCAAGTAACGCTCATTTCGTTTACATCTACATCCAAAAGGCAGGTTATTCAGCACCTCTGCCTCCGTCCGGGGGCTTTTTAAGCTGCGGGCCGCTCCGGGCCACGCTCAAAATCCAGGATGGGGGTGGAACAGCCAGAAGGAGACGGATCCCCCACGTCCCCATCTCTCGCCCCATCCCGGCCTCTACGGGAGCGGCAGAGTCGGGTTAAACTTTCAAACCCTGCTCAAATTTGCTAAGGTTCTGGGGGGTGGATTTCTGCAAAACCCCTGTGTCTATCCCCCGTCACACACGTCCAGCTGAGGATAGCGACACTCGCCTGTGGGTGGAGGGGGAGGGCAGCCACTGCCCGCCCAAGTACCTCGGAGCAGTTCGGTGGTGATGATGATGGTGCTGCTGCTCCACCTCCCCYCACCTCGGAGACGCTTCGACGGCATAAAAAAGCGGGAATCGTCGCCCACTGCRACTCTCTGCCATGAAGCTCACCTGGGACATTAACGACCCCAAGCTGCCGCAGGTAACGGGTGGGCAGCAAGGTTCC